TCAGACTGTGGGGCACAGGATCTCCTGTCTGAATCAGCACACAGTGACCCCTGCTCCTGCCTCAGGTCTCCTCCCCCTGCCAGTCCTTCCTTTGTCCTAACAACAACAACAACAGCAACAAAAACAACAACAACAACAACGAAGGTTAAGAAATCCTGGCTCCCTGGGGAAGGTGGTTGGGAGAATTGGTTTCAGAGGATGGATCACCTGAAGATGGAAGGAACAAAACCAGCCTCAGTCCAGACAAAGCTTACAGTTGATACCAGGGAACAACCTGTAGATTCTGTCTAATTACTGTCCTGTCTCCCGCCCTGTGTGCAGGGACTGACTGTGCTCAGCAACTTTTGTACACATCTGAAAGGACACCATTGACCTTGAAAATTCTGATGCATATACATGCCACACACAGGACTCTCCTTTTCCATTATTTCCCTTTAAACAACTTATATTGCAGTGCATTTTTACCTTTTTTACGTTTACATTCTAAAGTCTTATCTTCACAGTTTCAGATAAAAACTGATGGGAGGGTACTATCCCAGAAAGGGCCCTCCCCTTCCACTAAGTCACCCCTGTATAGATCCTATACCTGCCAGTGACCATGCTAAAAGTTTCACATCTCTTAGCTCAGATATTCTTGAGAACATCTTATGAAATATGAATTTTATAATCCTTCTTGTACTGAGAAAACAAAACCAGGGAGCATTCAAGTAATGGAACTCAGTTCTCATTGGTTGTAAGAGGCATAATCAACATTAGAATCCCAGACACCTGGCTTTTCCACTCTTCTTGTTAACTTCAACCTTCACATTTCTTCAAAGACACAGGGACCTGCCTGCGATGAGGTGGGAAGAAGTGGGTCCTGAGAGTATGTCCTTTGATGTATAACCTGATTTTCCACTGGGAACTGTTATAGGATGGGAGACCACACCTGATCTTGCCCCTCTCAACCACTCTTGTCTCCCATGGCAGGTCCCATATACAAAATATGTATCCTTGTCTGCTGGTACTTTCGTGAAAATCAAAGGGACATTTGTCATGCCTTTCAAGTGAGTATCTATAGCCCATGGGGAGGGGAAGTGAGATTATTAGAGATTTGGGGTTACTTCATGCATGACTGAGGTTGAAGTTTGTAATTAGCATAATGGTAACACAATGCAGATGCACATTTGGAGACCCATATGGTGCATTAAAACTACAGGTGCATGACTGTGGGCAAGTGTTGAAGTCTGGGGGCTGGGGTCACTCAGGCATTGGAGCTGAGGTTTATTATCAAGGGTCACAGTATTTCCAAGGCATGAAAATTAGCCCTAGGCCAGTGACTGCTGCTCAGTGTGAGTCCTGGGCTAAGAGATGAGGCATCTCCCCAGCCTGGGCAGGACAAGCTGAAGCAGCCCCACAGGGACACGTACTGAGGTCTCACCCAGGAAGGCCTTCCTCCCATTAGGAGGAGTTGGAAGGGTGTGGATGTGTGTGTACTGAGTGTGGGCCCCCATGAGGAAGAGTCCTTCTCAACATGCTTAGTGCTTTGCCTTCAGCATGAACCCAGAACTGCAGGTGGATTTCCACACCGAAGCTGAAGGGAATACAAACATCGCCTTCCATTTCCGAGTGTACTGTGACTACTATGTGAAGATGAACAGCCGTCAGTGTGGGAACTGGGAAGAAGAAGTGAGAACCTCTGTTATTTCCTTTGAGGATGGCCAACCCTTTGAACTGGGCATCTTGGTGCTGTCAAATGAGTACCAGGTGAGTGTGCTCAGGAACATCCACTACATGGGGTCTCAGGTCTCTCACAGGAGCACACAGCTACCCCTGGCCTGGCCCCCAGAGTCACTTGTGTTCATCTCCTGCCCCTCTCATCACACAGCACCCTCTGCTTGTATTGCCATGCTCAGGTCCTTTTCCAAATCTGAGCAGGTCAAGATCAGCACACAGGCCTTATTCTCCAGGATGGAGAAGGTCCTGTCTTCACTCACAGCCTCATTTCTACCTATCCTGTCATTCCTTCAGTTTTCATGTAGGAGATGGTTAAAATATGCATATAACTAATTATAATCAGTCTAAACTTAAGTCTTCCCTACATTTCCAAACCTAGTCTCTCTCTCCAGAGCAACAAATCCTAACTCCTTTATGCTCCTTCCAGAGACACTATATGCTTGTTCAAATCTATGTATCTATATATCACTTATCTCTATCTGCTTTTATTTTAAAACGAAGATGTTATAAGCTACTCTAGAAATCACACATTGATGACTAGATTTTACTTGTTGTCAAAGAATGTATGTTAGAGAAGCTAACATCATTCTAATTGTGATGCCCCAACATTATTTAATTCAATTTTTGTCATGATCAATCTCCCTATTCTTATAAGGAAGGATAATTTCAGAGGAATTGAATAACTGGTTCAAAAAAGGATATGCATTATAAATTTGAAAAATTAAGACCTAAAAAGTCCAGTTTTTCTCCATAGCCACACCGATAAAGTGTATGTTTAAACCTTCTATCATTGGAGAAGCAAAAGGATTTCATATCCTATAATTGAAGTGAGACATTGTTCCATTTGCTTATAAGCTGAATAAACATGTCCTCATTTTAATCATATGTACTATTCCTCCTCTTCAGGAACATTCAAGTTTTGATTCAGTGGTTAAAGCATTGGCCTGCACACTAGAGGGTCTCAGGTTAGATTCTCGGTCAATGGCATGTATCTGGGTTACAGGTTCAATTCCCAGCCCCTTTGAGGCACATGAGGAGGCAACCAATTGAGTCTCACATTTCCTTCTCTCTCTCTCTCTCTCTCTCTCTCTCTCTCTCTCTCTCTCTCTCTCTCTCTCTCTCTCTCTCTCTCTCTCTTCCTTCTCCATTTCTTTCCTCCCCAGCT